GGGGGGGGGGGGGGGGGGGGGGGGGGGGGGGGGGGGGGGGGTGTAAAAGCAGCCCCTCCTAGTAGCTGCCCCAGTTGACTATATTGCTCTCTTCTTCTTTCTTCTTTCTTCGTTTTTCTTTTTTCTTTTTTCTTTTTTTCTTTTTTCTTTTTTCTTTTACTCGAAAGAGCCCAGTATTGCTGTTTGTTGTCACTACCTCCCTATGTCAGGATTGTTGGGCAATTCACACGCCTGCTGCCTGCCTTGGATGCGGTAGCCAGTCTCTCAGGCTCCCTCTCCGTAATCAATCCCTAAGTTCTCTGTGTATTGCTTTATTTCTTCTGTGTTGCTAGGTCTGCGCTTCTTTGCAATTCTTTATCTGCTGAAATAAGGATGCTTCAAAAGAACAAGGATTTGCCAGAAAAAAAAGAGATTATCTTCATAAATTACCTGAATCAAATCGTAGCTTTTCTCATTATAATTGGCAGTGCTGCTTTTCGTTTTCTTGTTGCTTGGTTCCCCCCAACAGCTCTTCACCTGTGCCGCACAGGTGTCACCCAGATGTTCCCTGTGTCACACAGAGGTATGCTCATGTGTGGCACTGATGGAAGAGTAAAGTTTTCAACTATGCGATGGACAGATGCTGCACTAAACGCGTCGTAGTCATAATACCATAGTTCGAACTGCGAAGCTGGGAGTTTGGACCTAAGGCTGCTACCCACCACTCCAAGAAAGAGATCTCTGTATCCAATCGGTGCATACTGGCAGTGGGCGGGAGTTGTCGTAATGTGTCCGTCTTATCAATTCAGGCGACCTGGAGGAGGTTCACGAAAACCTGTGGCACCTACAAGGCATCTTTATGTCGCGAACTGCGGACCTGGAGTAGGGATCGAGTATGAGGAGGTGGAACAGATTTTCAGAAAGTTTGGGAAGTTGGAGTGTGTGCAGCCGTCCCTCACAAGTCAGTCGCGAACGTATGTGTCATTTATTGAGGTTGCAGCTGCGGCGGCAGCTTACGCAGGCCTGAATGGAGTCGAGGATCCTTGTTCGTCCCGTAAACGGATCATGCACATCGAGTTCGCGGAGGTTGCATCTGATGACTTCAAGGTCAGTAAGACGATAGAAACTGCGACACGTTCCACTTCCTGACTCGCGGCCTGATCTGGACATACCCTCAACGAGTCCAATCCACACGGATTCTAGAATCACTGGTGTTCGGCAGGATGTATTGCACTGAGGGCCTCTTGAGGCAAGAAAGGGAGAAAAAAAAGGAGGGGGGGGGAAGGAAAAGAAAAAAACTAGGCTACCAGAGTGCCCCGGGCGCACTTGCCCAGCCAGGCCCAAAAAAAAAGAGAAATAAAAATAAACATAGGCTACCTACCAGCCGGGCCGCCCGGGTCACCCTATTTTCCCGGG